CTCCAAGATGGAATAGACTTAGCTTGTGCATTGAGGATCGCTCCCTTGAGGAGAAACCACTCTTCTTGAACTCCCCTCCCCCTGGGGTCATGGTCCCTTAGGGCCTCACTGACAAGCCTCCTGAGCTTGTCAAAGTTAGCTTTCCTGAAGTCTAAGACTTCCATGTTGCTGACTGACTTGCCAGCTTTATGGCGGATGGTGAAGGTAATCAGCTCGTGGTCACTGTCACCCAGCTTCCCATCGATCACTAGGTCGCCGATTAGGTCATCCCCAGTAGCCAGTACCAGGTTGAGCAGCGCTTTGCCTCTCATTGGCCCATAGACTTCTTGAGTCAGGTAGAGGTCATCCACGAACGAGAGGAAGCTTTGCAACTGCTTAAATTTTGCTGAGTGATCCTCCCACAAGATTTCTGGGTAATTAAGTCACCCATGACAACCACGTTCCTGGAGCATGCGGCCTCAGTCAGTTCCCGGGCGAACTCCTGTTCAAGCTAAGGTCTTTGGGTGGGAGGTCTGTAGTAGACTCCCACTGTTGTGTCCCCTGTGCTGTGTTCCCCACGGATTTTAACCTAGAGGGTCTCCAGTCATCCACCCTGGTCGCCAATATCAGCTTGCAGAGATGCGTAGCTAATTTAAAGCTAGCTCAGACATGTCTACATTTGTGTACCAATTCAAGCATAATCTTAGTTAGGTGTGACCTAGCAATTGTACCCCTGCTCTTCTGGCCACTGAGTTGTAATCTTCTTCTCTGAAGACCCTGTCTTCCCATCCTGTCTGGGCTGCAGAGGATGTGTCTCTAAGAAATCTGGCAGCCCTCTCTCTGTATGTCTCTATTGTATCCCCCACACTCTTGAAAGCACTGCTTTTGAACATACCCCACCCACCTTCTCGTGCTTCCATGGACCAAACCTGAATATGCAGTGGTAAAACCTCTCTGGGGATGCCCCACGCAGCTTCTTGCTAAGCCTCTATCTCCAGCATGCTTGAAAGCAGCCATGGGGACATTCCCCCAGCAGCATCATTGTTGCATTCCTGGATATTATGTGTAGGGCAGGCATGCTCCATAGTAGCATACCCACAAGCCCTGGAGATGCAGTGTAAACATACCCTTTGTTCACTCTGTCCCCTATCATCTTCTTCTCACCAGCCAAAGAGGTACAATGTCCAAAAGGGACAAAAGTTCAAAGATCCCAACACCTGTGCTGTTTGTTAAGCACCAGTGATAGAGCTATCAAAAACCAATAACTTTGATTGCTGCAGACCAAACACACTGACTTAATTCCTGGTTATCTTTCAAGAAGCAACACAGAGACTAGTATAATGAAAAATATCATTGTTATCTACTGAATAGTTGGGAAAGATGTTAGATAAATCTTTGACAGGTATGATATCTTATTTAACATCAGATTTATGTTGGAGGATGTTTCAAAGCTGATTTTGCCTCAACATTATATATATTTTAATTCTTAAAATGTTTAATATGAGCTTGAAGACCTCGTAATTGCAGATTTACATCAGGTCTGTAGCATGCTCATGGACGCTAGGCTTAAAGTATGATATGAAAGATTTTCACGTGATCACATTTTGCTCCTTATCATCACAGTGCTGGGCACATGCCACTAAGCCATCTGTTTTAAGTGCGCTTATGTGTATGTGCCTAGTGCTATGCTAAGACATTGCATTGGTTAGGAGGCTTAGCATACACAGAGAGAGCTTCACCAAAGTGCCCAAAGTTCAAAGGTAGTATAGATATGTCTTCAAATACAAAGTGATTTCAACAACCTAAACAAAGTATAACCATGAAACCTGCTTAAATCTCTTCTTCAGAAGCCATTTGTTCAAGCTTCACATATGAGTCCTTAAGAAGAATTTTTGTTTAGGAACAGACTGAGAAGTACCACACTGGGTAAGTATAATATGTGTATAGCTGATGTTGACATCTCATGACTTCCGAGCTATATTGAGTTTTGTTATAGCATAACAGAGAGAAGAGGACTGTCACAGAGGCAAGTTAAGGCCCAGGACAAAACAAGCCTATGAGCTGGATGGCAAAAGCGAATGGAGACCAGAGGGTATGCCCTGACTGTTTCAAACCACGTGGAAATCTACAAAATAAAAAAGTAGTAGAGGGGCGCTGCAAGAATCACTTTACAGGGTAATAGTGCATTTGTAAAGCCCTTCACATTTACTGTCTCCAAGGTATGATACTATTTCTCTGGCTAATTTACTTTGCTGCTTAACATGATTTTTCAGGTGGAGGCTGAGTAAAGCAGAGATGGCATATCCCTCGGGCCACCATCTTTCTGCAGGACCAAGAAAGCAACTTTTTACCAGCAGGAAGTTCTGCTACAGCAAAGCCTGATCCCTTTGTACTAAGTGGTGTAAGGTGGGAAGGGGCAGGGGGGACTGGATATCATCTGATATTTGGGCTCATTAAGTATAAACCTGATATCTTCTCTGCTTGTATCATTACTATAGGAAAAGACATTTCATCAAAGAGATGGGAACAAGGCCATAGGGATACAGAACAAATTATTTCTTTGTTTAAAACACTGTAGACATATTTTCCTTGTGTACCGTTTAGATTTATCCCAGGGGTAACTGGAGCCTGCTATAACAAGAGCTAACTCCAACTGAGTTCTGCTAGGACTGAGTTCATTCTGGACCAGTGACTTCTACTATGAAATGTCACTCATACACAGAGCAACTATAGAAGAAACCAGCACTTGTTCTAGGCAAACAGAATGAAAGATTGAAGCTGTCTATACATCCCTTTTGATATTGCATCCTTTCTCCTTCTGCATAACAGATGCTCGAAACCAACAATGGTAATCTCGAAGTTCATCTGTCGTCTTTGTTTTTCATAATAATGTCTGGCTACTGACTTTTCTCATAAGATTTAAGTTCCCTTTTGTGTGCCTGAAATACCCCCAGTACATGCTTATGCAGCCTAGAGTGTTGCCTGTATTTTCCCTCCTCTCATGCTTTGTTCCTATCTACGTTATCTTACGTTTCCTAACCTTAAATTGCAAGTCAATCCCATTTACTTTTTCCTGCTCCAAATTTATTTAAATCTTGCCAAACCAGCATTTATCATCCCCTTCTTGCGTGATTCATTAACCAGGTCATTAGCTCAAATATCAGTATTTATTAACTAGTTTGCTGATTCATTCACAAGGGACATCATAGAAGAAAGTATATAGGTGCTTGTGGAAGAATTGGACATATAGCAGTGGCGATTTGCATTATTGGAAGAAAAAGGCTAAAATATGAAGGTCTTAAAGGTAGTGTTATTAGAGGATATGATATTTAATATGGTAGAAAGAGTGTCAGGGCAAGGACTCGATGAGTAGGATGATGTAAAAAATGAGGGGCAGGAGTATCTTGTGTAGGCTGGTAGCATGAGTTTGGCATCAGGAACAGTGGAGGATGGAGGTAACAATAGTGTAGAGGAGAGAGCCTAAGTGGGTAGAGGAGATTTTTCAAGGGGTACACAGAAAGCATGTAACTTTGAACATAGAACAGCAAGATTTGAATGTGACCTAGATGCATGAGAGGGGCTAATGTGAAATGACAGGTTACAGACCTGAGAGAGAGAGGAGATGGTAAAGTTGTTATCAGGGGAATGAAAGAAAATAAAACTTCAGGTCAGATATACATAAAGGTCAGATATACATAGGCCTTATGTCTGAAAAGGTCTAACTTTTCAGGATCTGTGTCTTTTAGTGGACTTGCTTTTTGCTGGCTTCCTGAGGAAGCCAATCCCCCGGGGGGTTGAGTGGGTGTGAAATTGCTCAACACTGGAAGCACATGACATTTCTTTCCTACTCATTTCAAAATCGGAGGAAGAATGCTTTCTCCAGGGACCCTCCATTTAGCAATCTTGGCTGGAGTTTTCACACTCAAAATATCCAGAAATGTACGAGCTTTCTCTTGCAAGATTGCTGTCTTAATGTTCAGCGTTTCTGCAGTTTGATGCAAGAAGCGTTCAAGTTATTGATCTTCAGAATGGGGATTGGTGTCACTGCCTAATCTAATGATGAGGAACATTCCTGGGAAGAAGATGGTGGTGGTTGTTGTAGCCCCCCTGTTGTCTCTCCTGCTTCCGTGGGCCTGGCTTCTAAGGTGAAGTGGCCTGGTTAACGAGTCCATCAGGGAGTGACATTTCTGATGGTGAGAGACTCTGATGGAACAGGCCAAAGCAGCTTGTATTGTGAGACAAGAAACCTCAGCCAGGGATGGGCTGGAGGGAGGAGGGGTACCGCAGGGCAGAGTGGAGCGCAGGCAAGATGCTGTTGTGAGAGAACGTGTCACTGCCAAGAGTCACTTTCCTGCTCTGCAGCAGCCGCTGAATGAAGAGCTTTTGATCTTCACTCGCCACGTAAAACTGCAGTGGCTGCAGAGCCAGGGAAGGGTTAACCTGGCTCTGGGAAGCAACCTGTCCTCTTGCAGCAGTGCGCTGCCCCCAGCTCTGCTTTGACTCATTTTTTTAAAATCCTAGATCAGCTGCTGATCCAAACCAAGTCAGGGACTGACAAGGAAATGAAAGGGATAAAAACTGGAGTAAAAGGGATGTGCCTCCCACAGAGACAGTCTCACTGGGAAAAGGTGTTGGTCGCACCACTCCTTTATACGGATTAACAGGGAATGGAGCTGTGGTAGTTGGTTGTCTTCATGCTCATTTATTTCCGAAGCTTATAAACATTGGGCAAACTTTGGGTGTAATTTAACAGAGAAAATCTGGATTAACTCTTGATTAGTGCCAGAATTATACTAGTGAAACAGCAATGTTTGGCTCACCTACTTGTAAGTAAAGCCTTCCTTTTGCTTCTTGTTTTTGGGTAATATTTCTTAGTTTGCATTCTGCAGGGAAAAGTAGGGAGCTGCAATGCGCAGCAGCTGGCAACTTTTTCAAATGACAGGCCAGAATGATCCAGTTTAGGTCAAAGGTGGATTGGCACTGCAACCCAGCTCCTGTCACTGCCCCCATTTCCCACCACCACCTGGCCATACAGCACAGGTGAAGCCCTTACCACCTCGCAGCAACATGGGTAAAGAGCCATTTCCAAAAGCCACTGAAGCTCCTGGTGCCGGATCAGCCAGATTGGCCCATGGACCTTAGGCTGTTGTCCCCCAAGTAGAATAAATGAAGTACACTACAATGAAGCTGTACCACTCAGTGCTCATTTGCAGCCTTTTCACAGAGAAAGAAAAAGTCTAGATTGGAAAGAAAATGTGAAATAAACTCATTTGACATACCTGAGGCAGTTTTTTTCCCATGTTACAATTTATGCCACCAATAAAGACCATGTTGGGCATCACTGGCCTGGGATACTCAAACACAAAGTCATATCTCAGTAGCCAGATTGAGCCATTTCTGTAAAGCGTTGGTAAGTGCACATCTCTCTGGAGAAATTCGGAAGCAATGTCTTGGTATTTGGTATACAAATCTTGGAAAAGTGGTGTCTCGAGGGAGGTAACAAGCAAATTCAGCACTCGCTGGGGAAAAGTCATGTGGTCTGTGTACCTGGTATAGCACCTTGGGATGTAAGAAACAGGGTTGGGACTTTTACAGATTGCATGCTCCAAGCTACATGGGAATCCACGGAAGAAGTACACAGAAGGAATGGACAGATGCTCTGCAAGGATCACCCCGCAAGGCAATGCTGGGTCTGTAAAGAGTGCATCAAATTTACTCTCTTCCAGATACTGTATGAGTTCTCTGTCCTTCAGGAGGCTGTTACAATTGTAAAAAAACATATTAATAACATACATGTTGTTCTGGTATTCCTGAAGAATCGTATATGGAAAATGGACCTCACGAAAGATCCCTTTAGCAAACCCATGGAAACGCTGGAAAAGATCCTCTTGTTTGTAAGGCACTTTATATGTTTTCCTTGTGTATAGCTTTGATTCTTTCAAGAGCAAATTAGATTCTGGAGCGATGACTACTATCTCATGCCCCTTCTCACTCAGCTTCACGACCACTTCGCGCATGCTGAGCCAGTGACTTCCATCCTGAGATATCACCAGCAGCTTCCCACTTTCTGCAAGCTTGAGCAAAGGTAAGAAAAGGAGAACCCCAGCACCAAACAGGTAAAGTTGATGAACTGGGAAAGCCATCGCAGTGAATAGAATAAGACTGCGCTAAATGTACAAATGCTTGAAACTAACTTTTATAAGTAGTTAGCATCACCAACCAGTTAGGCTGATTGCTGCACTTGTGTGAACTTCATAAAATATTACTTTCCTGTTCTTGCAACATATGTTAATCATTAGACTTGCAAAGCATGCAGTGATTTACCTTTTTGGAATTGTTTTTACCATTAACAGAAGTAAAGGTGAAGATATATAGCAGGGAAAGACAATAATCAATTTGTGGCAGATGAGAATTGACCCAAACCATTCCCTGAAACTGAACTGAATTGACATCCAAACCGTTCTATAAGATCCAAATACTATTCTGCACACCACCTTCAGAAGGCAGGGAAAGAACACCACTCTTTTACAGATACAGAAACTGAGCACAGAGATCAAAGGAGAAATTGTGTCCTATCTTCTGTAAGTACTCTGGGTCAGTACACCAGTGTGTGGAGCAGATGATAAGGATAAGACTGAGAGTAGAGCTGGTTGGAAACCACATTTTCATTCTCAGGGAATTCCATTTTTGGTTTTGGTCCAGACCCACCCAGCACCCATTATGAAATTTTGAACATTTTTCCAGAGAAGGGGAAGCTGGAGGGTACAACAGACATCCTTGTCTATTTTACTGGATAGCCACACAGGGGTTGGTTTCATTGGGCAGTTTGGTGGGGTTGGGAGAAATCTGTGCTCCTTGCTGTGGAGCAGATTTGTCAGGGGCTTGTTCTGGTACCAAGGAATGTGCAGCTTTGTGGGACAAAACGCTCCACAGTTTCCAGAGTCCCAGGCCCCAGGCAGATTTTCCAGTGGCATCTGCATCAGAGAGGGTGTCCCAAAGGCCCCAGTGTCACCATTTCTGGGCAGGGCTGGATTAACTCCTTAGTGGACCCCAGGCCAGTTGAGCAAGATGCCCCTCCTCACCCTGGTACTGCCACCCATGGGGAGTGGGGCTCAGAGCCACTGCTAGGAAGCAGCTGCTGCAGCAGTGAAGCCAGCGGAGGGGAGGGGAGGGGAACAGAAGGGATGCAGATGTGGCCATTCACTCCACCACCACAATGGGGAACGACTGGGCACCCCACAGCTCAGGGCCCCAGGCATGTGGCTAGTTTGTCTATGTGTTAATCTCACCCTGATTCTGGGGCAGTTCTGCGCGGCCTGACTCCAGAAGATGGAGACAGAGATCCATCGACCAGAAGAGGTGCTGCTGCCAACTGAACGCTTGACTGATAGAACTGCAAACTTCAGAAAGGAAACTAAAGGAGGCACTTTTGACACAGTCACCCTGTTGTCTCACTTGCCACACTTTGGTTTTATAACTGGACAGGGGGGCTGCCCCTAGAGGGCAGGGGGTTCTTGCTTCAGGTCTTCGGTCCTTGTCTGGGCTAAGGATACCTAGCCTTGGCCCACTTTACTTGGCTGGGCTCCTCTGCTTAAGGTCCAGTGTCCCAGCGCCCTCAGCTCCCGAGCCCCTCAGCCCCATCCTTCATAGGCTTCCAGGCCCTCAGCCCCAGTGTTTTCTGTCTGACACCACAGTCCTTCTGCTGACACAGAGCTCCCGCCAACCCTTCTAGAATGGTTTAGGACCTGGGGTACCCCTGGCACCTTCCTCCACCCCTACACCCACAATCTGGTCCCCCTTCAACACAAAAATAAGAGCATCTGCTCCCAAACAAAAGGTTCCTCCAACCCTGGGCCAACACTACAACATGGCAACGAGATACAATACCAAAAATGATGTCTGTTGTGGCCCATCTGGCCACTGAATTAGAAGAACAATTGGTTTGATCCGAGCTGGCAATTCCAAGGGCTTATAAGCAAAAAAAATGAAAGTTCAAAACCTGTATTCATTGTAATTTGCAGCATATTTTAGAGGGCAACCCCACCTGGGTTTTACTCTCAGGGCAGATCACCCCTGGAGCACAGGAAGATGCAATTTACATCATTCTGTTCCACCTTGCAACCAGGAAGATCAGAGTTGCTTTGAATCCCACAGGCAATTGAAAGGAAAATAATGTTTAATTCCCCCACAACAAATCATAATACTAGAAGTGTTCTCCTCTATCCTAGCTTTTGATTTAAAAAAATAACTGGTACTTTGACAGTGCTCTTCATCTAAGTGTTTCTGACAATCAGATAATCTCAAAAGATTGTTTAACAAGCAGTGATCAAGTCTTAAAACCTTCCTGTGAGAATGGTTCTGATACTACTTTATAAATAGGGAAAATGAGAGTGTTGATTTTGATCCCAAGTAATGATCCCTAGTATTGCTTGTGTCTATATCCTAAATAATAATACAATTATTTATATGGTCATTATTTATGTTTCCTACTGTACCTCTCCTCACATCCTACCTATATTCTGCTTCCAGTGCTGAAAAGTTCATTCAAATGATCATTCTTTGCAACAGTCCAAATTCGACCAGAAGAAACCCAGATTTTGAAACTGTCCTAGCTCCATCTCTGTTTTTGTAACCTGTGATTTGACATTTTTTCTTGTAGAATTGAGGAGAAGGAAGTCTCACTGAATAACCTCTGCTATTTTGAGAGGTCAGTCAGGGTGATAGGCCTTAAATAAGCTACAGGCCCAGCTTTCTCACCTAAGAGAGCACCAAGAATCCAGATAGGACATAAGGGATCAGTTGGAAGTCAGCCCATTGGTACAGGGATCCCGTGGTTCTGTACCTCCAGTCAGCTCTCTCTCATCCTGGCAGTGGAATTATATGGAAGTCCTTGCCAAATAAAACTGTTTGCCTGGAGGAAGAGTGGAGTCCACTGATCAGTTTAAGTCTCCTAGAACCGTAGTGTCTACCTTCATATGCTGGAAGTTTAATCATGGCATTCTTGGCTCTGCTGATAATTCTGTATCAGAGCTACCACCTCACTTAGTGCTAGCAGTGGCAAGAAGATGTCTGGTTCCTCTTCAGTCTTTCTGGTTTAATAGCAGAGTTAAGGAGGACATTCAAGGCAAAAAGCCCTTCAGAAAATGGAAGGCATGTCCAAATACAGAAAACAAGAAAGCTCAAAACTCTGGAAGATCACGAGTAAAAGTGAAATAAGGCAGGCCAAAAAATAAGTTGAAAAGTACCTAATAAAACTTTTTTAAATACATCAAAAGCAGGAAGCCAGTGACAGAATCAGTGGGTCCATGAGATGACCAAAGTCTAAAAGTTGCAAATAGAGATGATAAGGCCACAGGAGAAAAGCTGAATGATTTCTTTGCATCAGTTCTTATTGCAGAGATGGGGAAATACCCATCAGGGCGGTGCAAAATGGAAGCATTCCGTATCGACTTTTGTTTCGAATTGAAACGGCTGTTCTGTTCCGTCCCGTTCCGTCGAAACTTTTGCTGTTTCGACCCTGTTTCAATGTTTCGCCCATAGGATATAATGCAGAAGGTTGAAACAGGCTTTAACTTTGTCATTTCTGGCCTGATTTGGGTGACACGTGCCGTAATGATAGCCCCTTCTGAGGGCATGAAGCACGCCGTGTTTCAAGAAGATAGGTGCAGGGGGTTCAGAGATCGTGTACCCCAAAGTCTTGAGAGCAAAACTCATGTCACGTGTATGTGTTAAGCCACAGTGGGGTTGACACTGCAGGCGTGGTAGCCCCTGCTGAGGCCACAAAGCCTGCCAAGTTTCAAGGAGATAGGCATAGGGTGTTCAGAGAAACTGCACCCCAAAATCCTGAAAGCAAAACTTATGTCATGTGTATGTGTTAAGCCACAGCGGGGTAAAAACTGCAGGAATGCTAGCCCCTGTGGAGGCCACAAAGCCTGTTAAGTTTCAAGGAGATAGGTGCAGGGGGTTTGGGAGAACTGCACCCCAAAATCATGAAAGCAAAATGCATGTCACCTGTACGTGTTAAGGCGCAGTAGGGTGAAAGCTACAGGCCTGCTAGCCCCTGCTGAGGCCATGAAGCTTGCCAGCTGTAAAGGAAATAGGTGCAGAGCTTCTGGGTTCCTGAACCTGTGGCCACAGGCAGGCAAAACTCGTGTTATGGGTGCTTGTGCAACTGTGTCTGTCTTGGGGCAGAATGGGGGGACGGGGACACCACTGAAGACTGCTAGGCCTTGCTGTAGCCACAAAGCCTGCCAGCTGTTAAGGAGATAGGTGCAGGGGTGGTCTGGGCCCCTGCATCCCTAGCTGCTCACAGGCAAAACTCGTGCCACTGTTGCCACAGTTGCTTGTGCAACTGCTGCCTCTCATCAGGCAGCAGGACTGAAGATCCCCCATCACTTGTCACCAAGACCTGGGGGTAATAATTGACCACAGTATGAACATGAGCCAGCAGTGCAATGCTGTAGCCAGCAGAACCAACAATACCTGGCATGCTTCAATTGATGAGCTGGACCTCATTTAAGTGACAACAGAAGACATTTTAGGACAAATCAATTAACTAAATACTACTAAGTTACCAGGGCCAGATGCCATTCTTCCAAGAGTTCTGAAGTAACCCAAAGGTTAAATTTTCAGAACTATTGATAATAGTACAGAACCTATCATTATAGATGACCTTTGTGCCTATCTTCAAAAAGGGCTCCACTTCAGGAGTTTTGGTGAGCTGTCGCAGGTGGGGTCTGCAGCCCCCCCCCAACTATGCCAGGTTATCACCCCCACCTCAAAAAAAACCAAAACAGTTCACCAAAACTCCCTAAGTGGCTCTGTCCCATGCATGGCCAGGCAGGTGGACTAGGGCTGTGAGCGGTGCAGAATGGCATATGGGAGCAGGAGAGTGGGTAATGTTTCACGGGGCCAAAAGAACATGGGGCTAGGGCCCGGGGCAAAGCCATGACCTGTTCCTGGCATGCCCCTGCCTATTGCTGGAACCAGTGCCTATCACATCACAAGGACATGTGGGCAGCAGATTGTGGCTCTGTCCTAGGGCCTGACCCCATGCTGTCACCACCCTGCAATCTCAAACCCAATCCCAGCCCCAGCCCTGGCCCCATCCCATCCACCTGGCTGTGTACAGATCCTGGACCAGTCTCCATGGAAACCCTGCCCACCACTCTGTCCAGCATCCCCAGCAATGGGTG